TAATATCTTCCCATGTGATATTGTGGTGAGTTTTGACCTTGATTCCTCACGTTCCATTCGTATGTCTGTTTTGTTTTACTCTTTGTATCAGGTAAACATAATACGAACGATATTAGTTTGTTTATTAGACATATCACACAGTGAAAGAGTATTACTTGCTGGATGACGTTTCGAACAAAATTTATTGTTCATAACCATATCAACTGTGATCACACGACTTTGACACTTGAGTTTCATAGCTTTATTTGTTTTCTCCTACTTTCCGTAGGGGTAGTAGAATTTTCCAGATATCTGGGACAGGTGATGAATTATTCCTATTACATGTATTTGCAGTTGACTCGATAAACAAAGCTTCTGTTATCAATCTCTCCCTATACCCTGTGACATTAGATTTTAAAACTGTCATCCTATCCCATCCATCTTATTGTATGGTTGTGTGTAACTGCATGTAGTGCTATAGCTGAACTATTCTCTAGATTTCTTATCTTATTTGGATCAACCAATCTAGATTTTGTTAAGTTTTTATGTTCAGCTAGTCTGACTGCCTCTGTTCTACTAGTTTGACCTATGTATTTGACTTAATGTCACAGGGTATAGGGAGAGATTGATAACAGAAGCTTTGTTTATCGAGTCAACTGCAAATACATGTAATAGGAATAATTCATCACCTGTCCCAGATATCTGGAAAATTCTACTACCCCTACGGAAAGTAGGAGAAAACAAATAAAGCTATGAAACTCAAGTGTCAAAGTCGTGTGATCACAGTTGATATGGTTATGAACAATAAATTTTGTTCGAAACGTCATCCAGCAAGTAATACTCTTTCACTGTGTGATATGTCTAATAAACAAACTTATATGGAATTAGTTACTACCACAGTACCCAAGTTTTACACATATGTTAATAATACTAACGACTTATTTGTTTGAGGGATTTTGTCATGACTGCTGCTTTTTATCTGAAATTATAGATAGACGCAAAACAAACATCAGGTGTAGTGTCCAAGCTCGTACATTAAATGGGCCCGTGATTTCTAAAGCTCTTACATGGGAACTAGCACTAGTATCACTTGCAAATTCTCTAGGTGTGTCATTAAGTAGCTTTTCAAAGGAGGCCAATGTGCTTACTAGCCACTTCTCCATTGGCAGTTTGTTCCATACTTGAGCATATCCAATGAAGTAAGACTTGCCTGGTGGTTGTTTTACATTGTTCTATAGCCACTGTACCTTTAGTGCGTCTTTGGTTATATTCAATGTCGCCTGAAAATCCAGTACTGTCAATGTAGTTGAAGAATGAACGATCAATTCATGGTTGTTTACTCAAAACCAAATCGATATTTTGGCGGGAATCATCGTTCCATCGTACGCTGTTCGTTGGAAGACGGAGAAATATCATCAGAGACTTTGTGTATAATAACCTTGAATTGATTGTTCATTCTTCAACTACATTGACAGTACTCGATCTACATTCCGTCTCACGTCCACTTAAGCCATCGAGAAATCATGATATAATTGACTTCATGCTTTTTCTGATACCTCTGAGGTTGGATTTGGAGCAGCCGTCTACATCAGAACTACCTGAAGGGAGGATATAAATGTTTGCCTCGTGATGGGTAAATATACAGTTGCACCTCTAAAGACTGTTTCGATTCCGAGATTAGAACTTACTGCAGCCTTGCCAGCTGCGCAGTTATTCACAACGGTGTAAGGAGTTAGATTATCCCATGTATCCTGTAACATTTTGGACTGATTCGATGCCTGTGATATATTATATACACAACGAGTCAGCAAGATATGCATGTTTTGTAGCTAACAGTGTCTCAAGTTCGTGAATTAACGGCCATTGAGCAATGGAGGTACGTACTGTCTGGAAAAACCCAGAATTGCGGGGAGTTATTGATATGAATGTGGTTAAAAATAAGTGATGGAAGGGTCCGAAGTTCTTGCTGCGAGCTAATAGTATGTGGTCCAGTAGAGAAGAGGAACAATCGATAAGTGAGTGTGCCTTGGAGTTTAAGACAAATGTCAGTTTAACATCTACCCAAGAATGACATTCGGGTTTACACCCACTTTTTAAATATTATTCTTCTTGGTGCAAATTACTGAAGGCTGTTGCGTGGTTGGCACAATATGTTACGTATTTAAAGGTCATGCATCTTGCAGGATACGATAATATGAATGTGGGACCTTTGAGAGTCGAAGATATTAGAAATGCAGAGTTAGCGATTTTGAGGGCTGCTCAGTGGGAAGCGTGGGGTGAGATAGCCAAGGTGGATAGTCCCGATTACGCAGATTACGCGGTTAGACTGATTATCTCCGATAGTTTCCTAGGGGATCGCTAGAATTGGTGGATGTCTACAAATGTTAGAATCGTCATATGAGACCCATCATCCGACCTTATTATCTTGCTACCATCCAGTCACTAATCTCATTATAAGGCACCACGATGTTCTTGAAGGTCATTTGGGTTCTTCACAAGAACTATCGAGTATTCGGTGCAAGTTTGGGATGGTGAAAGGAGGTACTGCTGTCCGTAAAATAATTGATAAGTGCATGGAATGTAAGCTAAGGAATGCTCACTCAGCACAGTAGATGATGGCACCACTCCCAGCGTGGCAAGTTTCTAAAGGAAATTATCCAATCGAGTATGTCGGAGTGGATTTGTTCGGACCTTTCGTAGTGAATAAAGACAGAACCTTATGCAAAAGATATGGCTGTTCACTCACCTGTTTGAAAATGAGAGCTGTGCATATTGAGATGGTTCATACGTTAGCTAATGATACATTCGTTCCAGCATTTCTTAGACTTATAAATCGGCGAGGTACACCGAAGGTAATGTTTGTTGACAGGGGGAATAATTTTGTTGGCTGTCACGCCGAGCTTAAAGAGTATTTCGAAGGTCCTCAAACGAGAGTTCATGGAGAGTTATTGAAAAGAAACACCGAGTGGCACTTTAACCCACCACATGCCAGCCACAGAGGTGGGCTATGGGAAAGACTTATAGGAATTATTAAGCGTATTTTAAGCTCCAAAATTAAAAACCAAAGTTTGAGCGACGAAACCTTGGGGACATTTTTATGTGAAGCTGAGCGAATACTAAATGACCAGCCGCTATTACCTGTGAGAGACGACGTCAAGGATTTCGATGTGTTGACTCCAGATAAATTATTTTTATTGGGAGGCAACCCTGGCATAGGGTATTTGAGTGCGGAACGAATACCTATGATTAAAAGATGGAAACAAGCCAGGTACATGAAAGATATATTTTGGAAAAGATGGTTAAAAGAGTATGTTCTAACAATGCGAACAAGAGACAAGTGGAAAAAGTTGTGCAGAAACTTGAAGGTCGGTGATATAGTCTCAGTAGATGGTCTTTGGGAGTGGTAGAAAGGATACTCTGTAGTGGTGATGGGTTGGTGAGGACGGTCGAGATGAGAACGAGTTGTGGCATGTTGGTGCGAGATATTAGGAAACTGTCTGCTAGAAGGTGCTGAGAGTAGAGAGTCAGAGGATGGACCACTTGACGACTTTCCAACTTAGAATCGTCAACCTGAGGGGGTTGCGGGCGTACTGGTGTAAGTCATCAGATTCTTCAAAGGAATTACATCAAGACATGGTCTGCGAGGTTAGTGTACTGTTTGCATATATGCATAGTGTGTAGCATCAATTGGTGTTTTTGGATTAGCCGTGTTTACTTGTTGTTTTCGTATTTTGTTGTATTGTATAATTTTGTTGAAATTTTCGTCGTGCTTACTTCCGAAGTTGTTTTGAGTCTTTTACATCTGTGAATGAATTGATTGATGTTAAAGGCAGCAGATAAGTCTTATACGCCGGGGAGACTAGTGCTGAGAATGACATGCACACATAGACACGGATTAGCTGTGGAATCAATGATTGAGAATGAATGTTTCGATTTAGGCTGTGGTCCCATATGCCGGGGAGCGAGAGTGTAGACGACTGAGGATTTCATATGTCACCGTTACTAGGAGTGAGGCAGAATGAGTGACAAGTGATAGCAGTGATAGATAAGAGGATGTGCGAAGGGTATCATGAGATGTTGCTATGGTCATATTGCTTTCTGCAAGAGTCGTTCTAGCAAGATGTGTTGCAAGTTGTCAAGAGGATGCCTTTAACTAAGAGGCGTAGGTCGTTGTCGATGAGTGAGATTGTCCTGTGGGTATGCCTGTGGTGTGTTGGCTTTGTTTTCCATTTCAGCTTTGTCCTTGTGGTCCAGGTTCCCGCACTGGCATCCAAGTCAACGTATATTGGTCGTGATTGAAAAAGGGGATGGATCCCTTTTTTGCCGGGTAGTGTCAATGTAGTTGAAGAATGAACGATCAATTCATGGTTGTTTACTCAAAACCAAATCGATATTTTGGCGGGAATCATCGTTCCATCGTACGCTGTTCGTTGGAAGACGGAGAAATAGTATCAGAAGTATTATTGTGATTATTTGTTATGACATTCATTCTTAGAATTTGTGTATCATAACCTTATTGTTGGTTCCATATTGGTGCAATAATAAAGGATTCTGGAGTCACTAATGTGTTCTGATTTTCGCGCTGGTTCTTGCACATTGTTGCTAAAGGCCTTCTAAGGACAGTGTTAAGTCCAGTGTAGTCAGACCTGGAAATTGACAGTCTTTGATAGCTCCTGGAATTATTCGCTGTATTTGTTGGCAATTCGTCTTTCCCCGTGTCTGCAAGTCTTTTTGGACGAGTGTTATTCGGAACTTCTCTGGATCGTTAACGTACCAAATTTGGTAACGTTCAATAATGCCTAGACCAAAGAAAGGTCGAAGCGTTTTGACGTTTGCCTCCAAAACGTTTCGACCTTTCTTTGGTCTAGGCATTATTGAACGTTACCAAATTTGGTACGTTAACGATCCAGAGAAGTTCCGAATAACACTCGTCCAAAAAGACTTGCAGACACGGGGAAAGACGAATTGCCAACAAATACAGCGAATAATTCCAGGAGCTATCAAAGACTGTCAATTTCCAGGTCTGACTACACTGGACTTAACACTGTCCTTAGAAGGCCTTCAGCAACAATGTGCAATAACCAAGGTGAAAAAAAACAGATTAGTGATTCGAGAATCTTCTCAATGTCAAGTATATACTCAATGGTGGTTGTTGTAAGTCCATTAAATAACGTATTTAACGCATAGGTTTACTTCCCGTGATCACGGCGATACTTTGCGGAATATATCAGAATCGCAGAATAATCAAACCCCACACGAAGTGGAATTCGCTGAACCCGCACGGCAAACAATCTGCAGTACACATCTGTATATTCATCCACATGTTGATCATGCCTACAAATCCAAATCACTAGCTATACAGCGCCAACTAATCGGGATATCTGTGAAATAATGAGAGTCTGCTGACAGTTGCATTTCGAATCTCAGTGACTAATTTGATGGTGATATTCTGCTCCTCCAAGCTTCACTCATCAATTTGAAAGGTTCAGTTCGCAGTCATTCTGGTTCCTGACCGAAATGAATTAAAAGATCCACCGATTGCTGATTCCTTAATGCTTATTTGCACGTTAAGCTGCACACTCACTTCTGTGGTGAGCCTGTTGCAGAATACATTGCTGAAAACATTATTGTCGATGAACTAACTGGCGTTTTACAGGCCATTTGTATTCTTTTGTAAACAGACCACTGTACCGACCACATGTGAGGCAGCCTTCGGTTGTTACGCGCGTTTTCGACAAACTCGAACAATAATGTTGCCTGGGATTATATCATGTAAATTGTTTTACCTATGTAAAGTGTGCTTACTGACATTATTCCATTTCCTTTCCCTGTATATATATATATATCTTGTGTGAGTGAATATTGTAAATATGCTTACTCCGTGTATATATTACTTGTCATTTTGATGATGCCTGTAAACTGGCGTCCCTCATGTACATAAAGCTGGAATATATTATTGTTATACACTGCGTATGCATTCTATTATTCCGAGGAGCTTATGACAGCTCTTGTGTGTGTGTTGTATATGTACTCGGGATGGTGGATTATCGATCATGGATGCATGATAATGTTGTGTACAACTTCGCAGTTCCCGAGGACTTTCACCTAAATGTAGGCATTTCATTGGTTGACTATAACTGTCAGTCGAAAGCGAGACGGAGTTTGTTTTGGCACTCAAGCTTGATGGCGACCTAAGTGAACAGTTTAGCATATGTGGAAACCAGTTCCGGTTGTTTCTACTACTTAGACTTCTGAAAAAGTACGTATGATACTCCACCATTGCAATTTATAACCTGTCTTATTGTACCCGTGAAAGTGGCACGCATTGCATGTTAACTTACCCTTCTATATAAAGTATTAAATTAGAATTGGCCCGTTGATCTAGTTTGCCTGGGTCTACTATCTGGCGGGAAATGTTCCCTATTGAACGATCTACTCTGTCTGCCTTGTGCTAGCTGTTTGCGTTAGTGACCAAACGTTGGCCAATAGTTCTGGGGTTATTAGGTCTTTTCTCACACTGATATGGTTCACTCACCCTATTGTAAATCGTCTCCTCCCAACATTCGGTCCCCAGTGCGTGCTAGCTGTTTGAAAGAAAAGTCGGGATCTTGCGCGTACAGTATCTGCTGCACATCCTCCTGTAGGGCTTCCATTCAAACTTGCTTCAGTACAGCCTATCATGCTGCTCCCTACAAGCTGTTGAACGTGGATCAAGAACTGTGATCGGGATGTATCTCTATGTTCTCTCCGTCAGGAAAGTTTTGTACACGATTGTTTTCTGACATGGAGAGACGTTTTATCACCTTGCGTTTAAACACTGGGCATTGTGGGGAATTATGTATGAGGTTCCGCACCTGCTCGCTGACCTCACAACGTAACTGAGAACACCCTGTCGTTTCAGACCTAATGCTGTACCGGTGAAAGTAGTGCTCTAGTTTAGCAAACCATAGTTCTGTGTCAGGTTGATCAAATTCTGGAAATCTAAGTTTGGTAGCTCCTGGGGAGTACACAACCACAGAAGTAGAGTTTTCAAAAGAGTTTATGCTGAGCTTGTGGGACCTGAATAATGTGAACGAAATAGGTTCATCTATATGTAAACTGAGTGCTATCGAAATAATTGTTCAAACTACCGACCGATGTAGAAGACCAGTAGTACTTATAAACCTTTATTTTCGAAAGTATTGCACAGGGCAAGTGAAGCGGGGAACACCTAGTCGACCACATGGAAGGTCAATTTTAGGAGATCAAATAAGTTCGTTAATTAACTGCACTTCGGCGGTTCCAACATCAACGATCAATTTGTTTATCCGTGCGAATTGAAACAGTATGATTTTCAAGGGATACGAGGTCGCCAGCTTCGTTGTGGTGTGATAATCTACCTGTACATTATGGTTGGAGACGACGACATCAGGAAAGTCCGCTGTAGCCAGAAGGCCAGTCTCCGGAACTGAAAATAGTATTTTTCGTACGTAATAACCAACTCGATTTCAAAGCAAGCAGTATTCAGAGACGGACGATAAGTCGATAATTTGCTGGTCAACCAAATACAAGCCAATATAGCAAGTCAATTACGCAGCAGCTTGGTCATGTGATCAACAACTGGGTACTACTAATACTCTAACAAAGTTGCTGATCGTATTGCTCCGGTCTTTTGTGAAGGAGCAGACGTTTAAGTCCCAACAGAGTCTGTTGCCTCCAACGGACAGGAAACTGGTTCGAATAAACATGGTCAAAAAATACATCTCTTGGCAGCTGTAGGTGTTATATTCTGCCTTCGCTAGTTGGGATGGTTTTAAGGGCAGCCTGGCTACCAGGTTAGGTGGGTCAGTCTAAACAGTCAGCAGGTAGTGTGGTTAGTAGTGCTCAGGCCTAGCAGGGTTCGTAGCCACGGGTCAGCAATCACGAGCGTTATTTCTAGTTGAAGCCAACTAGAAGCGATCTCGAGTCTGTGTAAGTAGTCTAGCGGGTTGGTTTCCCAGACATTCGTCAATCACTAGATAAGGAGAGCCTTAAAAATAATAGAGAAGATATATTTTCTATTTGGTCGCTCGTCCTATGCTTCCAAGTTCCTCAGTTATTTACTGCATCCGAGTGGCTGTAGCGAACCGTTTTATATAGGCCCTTCATTAGCCTCTCCCTACAATCTACTTTCTGAAGAATGTTGTTGCAGAGGTGCATCTCTGGTTTCACATCGAGTTCACTTAGTGGGTATGACGTCAGCTGACAAGTCGTTAGATGTAATCTCCACATCATCAAGATGCTGAATACATGTAGTACATCTGCACGGAACAGGTTAAGGCCATTAATGTAGTACTATTAGCGGAAATGTAACAATGCCATTCGTCAACTTAGTTTACTACTGAATTTGCTATACCAGAGTGGTTAGTATCAGTCGTTTCGAAGTTTTGTGCATCTTCTACTGCTACACAGTAGTCAATATCTGCAAACTAGTTTTTGTCAATAGCAGGTTCATCTAAAATCAGTTAGCAGGTGTTTATCGTTCGTGTCTCTTCAGCCTAAGCCCAAAACTCCCTTATGTGTTTTTGCCTTGAAGGTCTATCGAGGTTACTGGTTTTGCACTCAGTCGACAGATATCTCCAGACATTGGAATTGATGCTTTATACCAAGAAAGTCTTGACGCTGTTTCGTTGATTTCTCATTCTCTGCGCTGGTGCCATGGTTATTTTTATCCCTAGAGGTTGACCACTTGGTATATTCCGCAGGAGTGTCTGTGGGTTTCATCTTGAATAGTGTCTGACACACTCACACTAGATTAGGAGTTTGACTTACCACCCGGAAACGAGAACTTAGTGGAGACAATGTTAAAATTGGTTAAGTGGAGAGAGAAACTACTTGAGGAACTACTGAGAGCGGCCTACCCAATACCTCGTCGGTGCAGTAGGATTTTACTTGGTTCTGACTGACGAACAGGTGTTTACTCAGCTGCCCATGCAACACAGAAAAAGGAGGCTCTAGATAAAGAAGCAACCAACTTCACTGCACACTGAAGAGTGCTTCACTGCCCTAAACAAGGAGAGATATAAGGAATTGGTGAGTATAGTAATAAAAGTTAATATCCTGTAAGAATGCTTCTAATATATGGAAAATTTTCAAAGAAATTACTGGTGGTAAGCAGATGAACAGTATTCCTTATTCCCTTGATGTTTCCAAACTAAACAAGTCCTTCATACATTCTCCCACAAATGCCAAAATTCCTAGTGTTGCAAGTGTTAATGAAACCTGCTTCCCTGGTTTTAATACAAATGATGTTCTAAAATGTCTCCAGTCTCTGAACCCTTCTTGTAGCCTGGGTCCAGACGGTTTGCCTAGTGTTATTCTTAAAAAGTGTGCAGATATCCTGTGTTATCCTCTCATGGACATATATAACGAATCTTTTTCCAAAAATGTCGTGCCAGCCGTTTGGAAGGACATTAAAATTGTACCTATACCTAAGTCGTCTACTGCAACATGTTTTAAATTTAGACCCATTGCTATTACTTCCCCTTTTCTAAAAGCTGTGGAAAAATTACTCTTAATTAATCTTCAACCTTCACTTAAAGCCTTTAACGATCCTAAACAATTCGCCTATAAACACAGTAGAAGTACTTTAGATGCAGTTGCAGTCTTGTATCATAACATTGTCTCCAGCTTAGACAAGGGGGCTAAATTTGTTCGCTGCACCTTCCTAAATTAGACATCTGCTTTCGACTCAGTACCTAGGAACATTTTGTTAAACAAGCTTGCTGAAACTCAGACAGACTGTTGGGTTGTCAAATGACTGCATTCTTATTTCTCAGGAAGAAAGCAGTACTCTGTATGTCAGGGAAAGTCGTCCACTTCGTTGCTTACTAAGGCTGGTGTCCCTCAAGGCGCTGTCCTTTCTCCTTTTCTGTTTTCTTTCTTCTTGCATGACTTGCCTCACTCTGATGAAATGAACTTTGTTAAGTATGCCGATGATCGAACTATTTCAATGTCTGTCAACTCCCACCTTGACTGTACTAAGATAAACAGCTTTCTATCAGGAATTAGCAAATGGTCTTCGTCTAACGGCCTTAAACTTAATCCTTCCAAATGTCAGACTGCTAATTTCAGTTTCCGATGTAAACGAAAGTTAAATAAAAAGCCTTTGGTTCCCATGACCCTTGCAAAATTGATGATACTGATATCGAAATCAAGTCTGAAGTTAAGTACCTTGGATTAATTCTCTCTTCTGACCTATCCTGGTCTTCCCATATCTTAGCGATTTCTAAAAGAATATTTCGTCTGACTTTTTACATTAAGAAGTTAAGGCACTCAGGCATAACTCAACCACTCCTCTTACAGTTTGTCAACTTGTGTATTTTACCTATTCTTCTTTACTCTTCACCCTTATTCTTTCCTGGATTTCTTAAAAAAGACTATGTCATACTTCGTAGAACTCTGAAGACTGCCAGTAGGACGAGTGGTTTCCCATTGGGCCATATCGTTGACATTGTCACTGATAGGCACTTGATGTCATGCAACAAATTCGCTAAAGGAATTTTGTCAGACTCTGAGCACCCACTCTACCCGCAGCTGCAACCTTGTGTCTCCTCAGGCAAAACAAGAAGTCTTTTCAGGAGAATTTATGCTCGTACGTCTAAGTATAAAAATTCCACTATATCATATTTAGCACGTACTTTATGTGATGAAAATATTGTCAGGCATGAACTAACGAACCCTCTTTGCACTACTAAATAAAACATTTCTTCCACCCTTACAACATCAACCTTTATTGTTATTGTACTTCTTAT